CTAGTGATCCAACCTGGCTTGGCTAAATCTTTAGGCTTGATTGCAATTGGTGGTGCGGCATTGATTGCTTCTTCTATTTCGGAGTCGCTATGAACGACTCTTTCATCCCCGGCCGGTCCTCTCGGACGGCTTTCTACTGGAAACCCGAAGACTCGTCCTCCGCAGGTGCCGCCAGTTCAACCTTGACTGTACCGGCGTTAAACACCTGAGTTCCAGCAGATTTCTGGGAATCATCAGCACTTGCTGGGCTCGCTACCGAGTCATCATTCGAGATCACTGGGACTCTACCCTTCATCTTACACTTGATGACCTTACCGTCGGGAGCTATGAAGTATGGAACCTTGCCCGCAGGCCAATGGAAATCATATCCATCGTCCATGCATCTTCTCCCAACAGAACAAACCGGTGGCGTGCTTTCCAGTAGATAGCACTCAATGTTTTGCTTCAGTTCAGGCATCGGGATGTTGGTTGACTTGATTCCCTGAACTGGACCGTTAGCTGTAATCAAGTTGACCGGCCTACTAGCGTTTTCGATGGGAGCCTCTGGATAGTAGATAGAGTGATCGTGCCTACTGATCAGATCTTCTTCACTGCCAGTATCGGCGAGGAATTCTAATCCCGCATTAAAGCTAGAGCATGCTGTTCTTTCAACGCTAGAACACAGCTCGCACTTCAACACTGCAACTGGGATCTCACCCTCTTCGCAGTCATCTGTGCACTCGTACTCACAGTGGCTTTCAATCCCATTGAGCATACAGGACATGATCCTGGCAAGCTCGTTCGCTGTTCTTATGGCCGTGCTTAGGTCCTGAACTGGAGGCTTTGGGCAACTTTCAGCATCCAAGTAACAAACTTCGAAAGTTCGCGGTTTGGTCCTATGCTTCTTACCCTTACCATCCAATGGAATCTCCCGAATGCTTGGCTTCTCCTTGAACCTTAGTTTCTTGAACGTTCCTGAAGCATCACCCTTAACGCCTTGCCCATTGGGCACAGCTGCCAGCGCATACGAAATTCAACAAGCTGCCGTGCGTCCGCCAGACTTTTCCTTGCTCTTGGACCTGCCCCTGTGTTTCTTTTCCTTCTTTGCTTTAGGATCCGGGGTCGGGCTCCTAGGCTTTTCATCGTTCTTCGCAGGGGCGGCCTGCTCGGTAGGAGCGGCGTCAGTTGGATTGGGCTTATCTTGATGCAGGAACCTACAGTCTTTGCCTTTGTTGCACTTACCTTTCTTCCAAAAGGTGCAAATCGCGTTGATCTTCTTCTGAGGCGTTCGATGAGGACTTGGGGATCTTGACTTTGGTTTGTGGAGAAACTTACACTTGTCGCCTCTTGTGCATTTCCCTTTCTGGAAGTCGTAACAAACCTGTTGTGTTTTGGGACTCTGAGATCTAGGCGGTGTTCGTTGGCTCGATCCTTTGCTGCTTGTTCTGGATTTTGAGCTACTTCGGGACATGCTTCTTCCACGGCCTCCTCGCGAAGAGGGGCGACGTTCAGATCCGTACGCTGGGGCCCCGTATCTATCGCCATGCGACTTAGCGATGCGATCACGATTCTTGCGCATACGCTCTCTAGTCAGATGCTCCCTAATGGCATTGACGAGGAATTCATACGTGTGTACGGGGTTTCCTTCTTTTGCCCTGTCGTACAGCTGAAGATCGTACTTGATGTGGTGGGATTTCCGAATTTCCCTCAGCAAAATGTCCCTCAAAGTAACCTCATCCGGAACATGACTCATTCCAGCAATCACCGACTCGAAGTTGTAAAGGAAGGTAGCCAAGTCGTCCCCAACCAACTTCACTTTTAAAAGGTCCTCTACGCTATAGAGGCTTCCGACTTCTTCATTAGTCTTAAAGTGTTGGTGAAACATCCACAATACTTGTCTTCCCCTGACGGCACGTCCTCCTGTGGCCTCTGTTTCCTTGAAGTTTAGGACTTGCCTTGAAATCTCTCCTCTAGCGACTCTGGTAAGTGCAGCCAACAACTTCGTGTCCAATGTTAAGAATTTCCCAGTGTCATGTAAGGACTTGAGGGTAGCCTCTTTATCATATACTTCCTGCACCCAGCGAAATGCCTCATCCGGGCGATCGCTCGCAGCCCGCACAATCTCGCGGACCGAGATCCGCCACGATCGGTAGGTCTCTGGATTAGGGTAATCGGGAAGCTTGATGCTTTCGGCTTCTTTCACCTTTGGTTTGCCCTCTTCCTCTTCGGTCTTAGGGGTAAGCAAGCGTGCTGCCCTAATCAATGCCTCAGCTCCGAAATCAACATGTGGAACCCCGTCTGGATCAACAGTCGCCGGCTTACCAGTTTGGGCAGCTTTAGGAGACTTTTCCTTTTGTGGCTCTCTGTTCTCAAACCCAGGTGGTACAGAAGTTCCTTGCGGAGGTTCCTGAGCTTGCGGCGTTCTTCCGAAGATGTCCTTCATGTTCTCGGGAATCTCAAATGGATTGGAGAACGGGATAGTAGGATTAGGTCCTGGCTTCGGCGTGGCATATTGTTTGCCCGCTTCGTCCGCATTGGCTTCCATTCTTAAGGCTCGTTCTGCGGCAGCCAGTTCATCCTGCAGTCTGTCGTTTTGTGCACTCATTTCGGCGATTTCAGTAATGAAACGCCGTTCCATACTCGCTTCGGTTTCTTCAAGGACTTGTTTGAATCGGATTCCAAGAAAGTCAAGATGTTGTGCTTTGTTGCGTTCGCTCTCAGCAATCAGAGTGGTTCTGAGCTTAGCGATTTCCGACTGATGTCGTTGTTGGAAAATTGATTCCAGAATGTTCATTTCATTCCTGCATGTTGCAACTTCGTTCAACAAAAACTTTTCCCTTTGGGATGCGTTGAACTCAAATTCCGCAAACTGTGCTTCGCATTCTGCCATCTTCACCTCATGAAGGCGCTCGGCCTGTTCAGCCATGCCAGCCATTCTCACAAGATTATCATGCGATTGTTGGTTCAGAATGCTTGCGTGTCTTCTTTCAGCATCTGCCTCCGTTCGCTCTATTGCCATTCTTTGCTGTTCGGCTGTTTCACCCTGGTTCACAACATTGTACAAGGTATACTGCACGTTTGAGATGTCGACCGTTGGATTTGAGACAAATGGAGATAGGGTAGGACCCACTGGGCCGAAGATCCTATCAAGTGCTTGGGATCCTGAGCTCGATGCCATAGGGCCCGCGCCAGCTGCTGTGAGTTGTTCATCAAGCAGTCGATCTCTTGTTTCGTCGTCCATCTCGTCCGATGATACTTCAGTTGTTTCTCCCTTCTCAGTAGTGAGCAGAGAGGGCGAAGTACTCATGTACCAGTGTGAATACCAGTGTAAGAATACCACGGAGACAAAGTCAGCGAATACGGCTGATAACCTATAGAATACACCAAAACCGTTAAGCCATGAGCGGTCGCGCTAACCTTTTACTCAGAGGGCTTGGGCACAATAGTCAGCGGTATATAGTACACAACATGATGACTGTACACGACCATACAAACTCCTACGCAAGCTGCGATGCAAAACTACAAACCCAAAACCCCAAAAACCCCCTAAACCCTAAGCCCTGAACCCAAAACCCCAAAAACCCCCTAAACCCTAAGCCCTGAACCCAAAACCCCTAAAACCCCCTAAACCCTAAGCCCTGAACCCAAAACCCCTAAAACCCCCTAAACCCTAAGCCCTGAACCCAAAACCCCTAAAACCCCCTAAACCCTAAGCCCTGAACCCAAAACCCCAAAAACCCCCTAAACCCTAAGCCCTGAACCCAAAACCCCTAAAACCCCCTAAACCCTAAGCCCTGAACCCAAAACCCCTAAAACCCCCTAAACCCTAAGCCCTGAACCCAAAACCCCTAAAACCCCCTAAACCCTAAGCCCTGAACCCAAAACCCCTAAAACCCCCTAAACCCTAAGCCCTGAACCCAAAACCCCTAAAACCCCCTAAACCCTAAGCCCTGAACCCAAAACCCCTAAAACCCCCTAAACCCTAAGCCCTGAACCCAAAACCCCTAAAACCCCCTAAACCCTAAGCCCTGAACCCAAAACCCCTCAAACCCCCTAAACCCTAAGCCCTGAACCCAAAACCCCTAAAACCCCCTAAACCCTAAGCCCTGAACCCAAAACCCCTAAAACCCCCTAAACCCTAAGCCCTGAACCCAAAACCCCTCAAACCCCCTAAACCCTAAGCCCTGAACCCAAAACCCCTAAAACCCCCTAAACCCTAAGCCCTGAACCCAAAACCCCTCAAACCCCCTAAACCCTAAGCCCTGAACCCAAAACCCCTAAAACCCCCTAAACCCTAAGCCCTGAACCCAAAACCCCTAAACCCTAAGCCCTGAACCCAAAACCCCTAAAACCCCCTAAACCCTAAGCCCTGAACCCAAAACCCCTAAAACCCCCTAAACCCTAAGCCCTGAACCCAAAACCCCTAAAACCCCCTAAACCCTAAGCCCTGAACCCAAAACCCCTAAAACCCCCTAAACCCTAAGCCCTGAACCCAAAACCCCTCAAACCCCCTAAACCCTAAGCCCTGAACCCAAAACCCCTAAAACCCCCTAAACCCTAAGCCCTGAACCCAAAACCCCTAAAACCCCCTAAACCCTAAGCCCTGAACCCAAAACCCCTAAAACCCCCTAAACCCTAAGCCCTGAACCCAAAACCCCTCAAACCCCCTAAACCCTAAGCCCTGAACCCAAAACCCCTAAAACCCCCTAAACCCTAAGCCCTGAACCCAAAACCCCTAAAACCCCCTAAACCCTAAGCCCT